GCTCAAGGCAAAAGTCCGAGTGCTGATAGAACGGCCATCCTTCATATTGGTCAGGCAGCCAGGAAATGAACAGCCACTTATGCTGTTTTGTAGAACACCAGGAGACCACCAAGTCAATCTGTAGAATCCAGTGATCGGAACTCAAATGTATATATCCAGAACAGAGGTACCACCTTTGACATGTCCTCCCATGGAAGAAAACTTTGTTCCAAAAAATTTTTGAGAGACCAGCTGACCAAAAACATTAAAATAAAAATATCCATAATTTCTGGTTTTGGATGAAAACATAGAGGAGGTTTTGAGCAGCGAAGCAGGGAAGATAAGGGAGGGCAGGAGAGAGGGACAATGTGTCTTACTCTTCCCAGAGCAAGAACAAAAAAGAAAAAATATGTATATAGTGTAGATAATAATAGTGCAATAAAGCCAGTGATAAATGTAGAAGTCAGACCAAATTAATTTGTTCTGTGGAAAACGGACTGAAAGCAACAGCTGAAACTGCATTGCTGTTGTCATATTTTTGAATCCATATTTCAAAATAACATCCTCACGTGTGTATCCATACGCTGCATGTTGCCATCTGCTTCCCAAACAGAATGATACATTTTGAAAGTATATAAATTTACCCATCRATCTATCCATCCATCCATTATCTATACCCGTTTCTTCCTGTCAGGGTCACTGGTGCCCATGTCCAGCAGTCACTGTGTGAGGGGCAGGGTACACCCTGAACAGGTTGCAAGTCCATCACAGTATGGGTATACAGTGGTTTGCAAAAGTATTCATACCCCTTGAACTTTTCCATATTTTGTCACATTACAACCACAAACATAAATATATTTCACTAGTATTTAATGTGAAAGACCAACACAAAGTGGTATACAATTGTGAAGTGGAAGCAAAATTTTACATGAATCAAAACATTTTTTACAAATAAAAAACTGATAAGTGCCGAGAAACGAGGTCCAGACTCAGCGAGCTTTTGTGCTTCCTGGAGCACTACTTCACCTGCACTGACAGTCGCCTCGCTGCGTCACCA